GAACCAGAATCACCTCTTAGCCCTTGGACGGATTGAAAAGTCTCCTGTGTGCATTGCTGATGGAAGTGGAAGTTCCTGCCGTTAGCAGTCCCCGCGGACCCGAACCCCGACACACTGTGCTGCTGCTGCTTCTGCTGACCCTAGCAGGAACCTGGGCAGCTTGGTACCTTTTGGGAAATGCTGAAATGCTGAGCATCTTGCAGAATCAGTCTGTGTTTTTTTCTTTTACAGTAAGCCTGTCCTTGCTCTTTCAGCCACTTCCAATCATAAAAAATGTAAGTTTTTATGTTACAAATTTCTCCCCTAATAGGAGAGAACAGCATGGTTCTCAGCCTGTCTGCAGGCATATAGGGCTGCCAGTAGCTGGTATGGAGCACTTATTTAATGGAAGTGAGGTTGGTAACAGATGGATAGGTTTGTAATAAGAGACTTTAGAAATTAGAAAAGGGTTTAATTTACCCGATAAAAATGCATGTGGCTTATTCTCTTCCAGTCTTCATTTTTCACTTTTAAAATAACGTTTTGATTTGGAGCAAAAACTGGCACCTCTGCTGTGCAAGTAGAGTGCAGGGATTAATGTATGCTTAATTAACTAAATTCATATGTGGTGTTTGAAGTAATTATAAATTGCTGACCTGAATGTAAAATCTGATCCGTAGAAGTTGAGGAGGCTTCCACATCAGCATTTGAGGATGCACATGACTATTGACAACAGGACTTCCTAGTGACAGACAGGTACTTTCAGTGCCAACCTTGAGATGTGCGGGTAATGAAATAAATGTATCTGGAAAGCTTTTCTCAGCAGTGTGTGCTGAATAACTGATTTGGCAGCATATGACAGGCTAGAATTTCTAGATCACTTTTGATCTGCAGTCTGAACTGGGGGCAAACTTTGATGCTCATAATTTATTAGAAAAGACCTTAACTCTTTCTGTGTCTCAGTGTGACATTTGAATGTTCAGACTTGCACCAAATTTTGCCATTGTGACCCATTTCTGCTAGTCTCTAGTTGGCCAGTGTTGCACCACATACCCACAGTGGTGTGAATGCTTCTCCTGTGATTGTCCTCCTTCATGTGACTTCCTAAAGGTGCAGAAGTAAACCCTCTCCCCTCATTTTTTGGGAGAAAATCTGTCTGCGTAGAACTCAAGAACTGAAACAGAGATGTGAAGAAGCAGATGCCCATGCAAATATGCTGATGTGCAAATATGCACTTTCAATTGCAACTTCAGTTCAGGGACAAAGTTGCCAAAACCTTACTGCCTGTCTTGCATGGCTGGCTGGGCAGCCCTACTCATGGTTTGCACGGCTCTTGTCTTCCACAGTAGCTGCACCCCTGCACTAGTTGTTTCAGTTGTATGGCATATGACTCTGGGGTTCTCACATTCTGCACATGGGCCATGTGGTTGCATAGGAGATAGAAATTCTGCATTTCTTCTGAAATTGCAAGAGAGAAGGGATGCTGGCAAGTTTGTAAGGAGGTAATGTGAAGAGCTGGAATGTCTTGGCAAGGAGGTAAGGGAAGGAAATGCTGATGTCCTGTCACCCTGACATCCTAAAAATGTGTTTGCTTAGCTGCTTAAGCATGTGGCAGGTAGGGAAGCAGCTAGGAGAAAGAATGTGTCCTGTGTTCGTATGTAGCCTTGTTCCCAGTTTTTGTCACATTTTCATCCAGACTCTGTTTTCCATGACCTATGCCATGAAAGTTGTTTTATTGCCGCGTGGCTTCAGAGGTGTCCACTCTACTGCTTTTGACTGATATGTGGCAGGGGATATAGAAATAATCCCAGATAAGTTTTCTGGATCTGGGAAAAACTTAAGTGGCTCAGACAACTGAGAAAATGAGTGATAAATTCAGGATGATCGCCTAATGGAGTGACCAAAAATGTATAGTTGGTTCAGTTTGTACCTCAATCAGGAATGCAGAAGCAGCTTTCAGCAGGCAAAAGAAATAATTTTAGTTTGGTTTATTGAGGGAGATGAGGAAAGGAAGCGGAGGCAGGCAAGCTGGCTATCGAGAAGCATTATGATCAGATTAGGAGGCAAAAGTACAAAGCATCCCTTATAATGCTGCAGTGCTGTGCAAGTGTAAGCAGATGCCCACATCACTGAGAAAACTCTGGGCACACGTAGCTGAACTAGTTCTACAAACATGCTTTGTGAACTTGATGTTCTCCAAAAGACAGAGATATTTCTGAAGACTTCTCTGCCCAGTGTCCAGGATGTAGTTTGAGTCTTGGACAAAATGAATCTAAGGGAAAGGAAGAAAATTTAATCTGAGAAGGAATGGCTTGGAATGGACATACCAGTGACATGCATGAAGTAGAGCACCATACACAGGGAGTTTGAATGAAGAGGCCCAAGATAACAGAGATGACAACAGTGGGGAGTTTTCGTCTGAAAAGAAACCTGATTAGTCATGTAAAGAAACCCGAGAGGGCTAGAAAAATCATGCAAAGGCCACAAGCTCAGGGTTCAGAGCCTGCCTAGGCTCACGGCGTCCAGCCCAAAGACTATGACTGCAGATGTGTAAGGGCTCCTGGGAGCCCAATAGAAAGACTTGTCTGGGCTGCAGATCATCTGACTGGTGCATGTTTATACCTGGAAGTACAATTATTTAAACATATATTAGCTGCTTGACTTTGCAATTATATTTTTACTATTGACAAGATGTTCTGCTTTGCAGGGTCATTCACATTTTCTTTGAGTCACTTGAGGTCATTGGAGTTACTCAGTCCTCAAACTAATGTGTCCCTGCCCTTCTAAAGACATGTGTGGGACTTGTAAAACATGCTCTAGATTGCTATATTGCTTAATTATACTCATAACTAATGAAATGTACACTGACTAATGGTGCAGTCACAAACAACATGTTCCCATAATCTGGGCCATCACCAAGAAGTTCTGTTATCACTAGATTCATCAGGGTAGTGCTTCAGAAAGCTGAAGAGCAGTGAAGTCTAGTAAAAGAACATAGCTGGAGGGATAAATGCTCTGATAAGAGCTCTTTGGGATGTACCTGAAAGCTCTCTGGTGCAGGTGTCTGGCAGGAGGAGCTAGGTGTCCCCTAGGTGGCCAAATTCTGCTCTGTTAGGTTGCTAAAGTCCCAGAAGGCCCAGAGTATTTGTTGAGAAGCAGCACTGATTGCTGAAGTAACTAATGATTTCTGTTTTCATTTTGTCCTATTAAACATTGTCAAGGTAAACTGGGGCTGTAATGGGAAGTGTTGTGTCCTTGTTTTTAAGATGGAAAGAAGAGCCACCTAATAAGCCCTAATGAGGGTTTTTTGGTATTAAGCTTCTCAAAAATTGATCCAGGAACCAAGAATACTGAGGCTGGATGTATATGGGCCAGAATTGAACTGAGGATCAAAATGCTGCTGAGCAGTGATTCTGCAGATGTTGAGGGTCCCTGGGAATCACCAGTCAAAATTCCTCACTCTACTGTAATAGTTTGTCAGAATGAGCTTTCTCTTCCGTTTTTCTCAGGATATGGCTGACCTGATCCTTTCCAGGGAAGACTTATCCCACCTCTCACAAAAGTTACTTCTGAGGCACAAGCTTTTGGCTGTCAGCCTGGATTGGACTACATACAGTATGTGGGAGGTATTTCCCAACCGACTCCCACAGAGAGATCTCTGCTCTTCCCACTAGATCTTTTCATGTGCTCCTAGGGTCTTACTTCAAGCCAAATTGAACTGAATGCTCAACTAACAATAGACAAGATACAGTTTTTCAAAGTGAGGTACCAGTATCCCTCCCCTAAAGGTGTAATATAAATGCGTTTCCTGGGCGGTGGTACTTCTTGCAGTTATGTGTTTTCACTGGGGGCCGAAATTCATCCCGTCTTCTTACCGGACTACCATCTTCCTACTGGAACAAACAGGATTTGTCGTGTATCGAGGGGATAATTTTCATGGAAATCCAGTGTTTAAAAAAGTATATTGGCAGCAGTGAGAAAGTTCAGGAAAAGTTCAAATCCGGACCGAACTTTAAAGCTATTTCCTTTGTTGGTAATGGATTGAAAAAAAAAAAAGGAATCCTGGCTATTTTAGAGGAATTTTGGGTCTGTATCTGAACTTGCAAGCCTGGCCTTTCCCTCTGTAGCAGAGCTATTTTTCTTGTACTCAGAATGATGTATTATGTATAATATGGATGTTTATATTTATTTTCACCTCCGGCTAACAATACCTGCTTGAATTTGTTATGACTATTTTAAAAATGTGCTGAAGGGAGGAAAATTGCAGAGGGCACTGAATGGTTGGGTATGTTGCTGAAGTTTTTAAATCTAAAAGTTTTCTCTAATGGAGCTTTGCTAGTTTGACTTTTCTTGTGAAGGAAGGGATCTCTTTGCTCTGAAGGAGTCAGAGTGCGCTTGGCTAGGGCCTAGCAGCCCAGTCAATAGTGCCTTCAACCCTAATGCGTTTTTCTCCACCTCAGGATCTGACCTCACATCTCTAGCGCTACAAATTGCCATCCTTTTCTCCCTGCTTTCTGTCTCTCTGGGTTATGCCTTTCGGCTTCCCATTCATGTTTTTTTGCGCTCACTTTTCTGCATGATTATTTAGAAGGTGACAGTGTTGGGAATAATTTTAAGGAGACCAGCAGATGTGTACAGAACTTCTGAGCTTTGCTGTAAGGAAGGTTTTTGTCTTGGTGAGAGAGCTGCGTGGGATTGTCCCTTTGAAAAAGGCAAGGGCTTCACATATGGGGCTTATGTCTTGGACCCTTCCAGTTAGAAAATAATCAGAAGTTGTATTTCTATGTAAATTAAAATCTGTTCTCTGTTAACATTCTAGTTATTTCTACCTCTGGACATTTCATCTATTTATCATTTGTGTGCACTGTGAGCACAGTCGGTGTGAGATATGTTTACTGTCACAATGCGGGTTGTAAATTGGGCTGTATAAATTGGCTGGAGACACTCACTCTTTTTTTGGGAGTCTCCAGGTGTGGTGGTTCGCTGCACTGTCATGTGACTTTTGCATTTTGATTTCCTAGGCAACCGCATGGGGTTCAGATGAAGACACCAGGAGGTCTTGTCAGAGTAAAGGAAAAACTGAGGTGAGTTTTGCCTTGCTAAAAAGATACTATGAGTAATTTCTTTGCATTATTCCATTAAAAACCTACATAGGGAGTGTCTAACACCAGCTTAGGTTTGTAAATCTGCAGCCTTTTAGAGCTATCACCACACCTGTATGAGCAGCACGGAGCAAGCCATTTCAAATGTCCCTATCCAAGTTATTAGACTTGCACTGCATGAAATTTAAAGGTAATTTGACTGCTGGAGAGGACACAATCTGTGGCACGTCAAGGAGCAGAGTGGTGTCAAACCAGAAGTAACATTGTGCGGTGGGGCTGAGGCTGGTCAGGTCAGCTTACACTCACTACTCAGCAGTGAGCTGCTGGAGTTCAGCCACGTGGGCTAGTGTTCAATGCTTGTCTGCAGTTAGAGCTGGTGTTTGTATAATTCGCATGAACATGAGAATTAATCTGCTAGCACAAAGCAATTATTTTCAGGTGGAGTATTAGAGAGTTCCTCAGGATGCAGGTGTGCAGTCTGGTAAACTGCAATGTAAAGCAAGAAGTGTTTGAACTAAGGCCTTCTATCTCACAAGTCTGGAGTTTGCAGACGTTTCTGATCTGAACACAGGTCCTCTTCTGCCCCTTTTCTGAGAATCTTAAAAAACCCCCATGTGTCTGAAAGCAGGGAGTGCTGTGAGTTTTCAAATGTGTTGTTAGTGGTACTGCAGAAAAACCTTTAGGCCTCAGCTAAGAGGGGGTCCTATTGTCCTAAATGCTGTACCACAAAGAGTTTTCAGTCTGAACCAGAGGATTCTGAAATAGAGTAAGAGAGGATAAACTTTATCTTTGCCGTAGACATGGGCAGCCAAGCACAGAATGATTGTTCAGCACACCCAAAATGCTGGAGTTCTGCTGAATTCCAGTTCAGTGCTTTAAACACAGGACTATGTGATCTTCCATTGACTATGTTCATTTGATATAATAAATTTTATGTGATTGCTGTGTTCATTTGTATATACATGAAAAAGCCTGCTTGAATTTTGCAGGATGGGCAGCAGTGAGCTTCAGGTAGTTGGGGAGCACAAGGGTACGGGTATCCTAGAACATCTATTAGAGTTTTGCATAGGACTATATTTTGCAGGAAAGAACCATGGATGCTCCCAGGCCAAATGAGTTAGGTTAGGTAAACACCAAACATGGCCAGCCACTAGAAGAAGAAGAACCCAAGTGAAGATGGACAGAATTCAAAAACTCCAAAACCCAAGACACTGGGAATTTCTTCTATATTTTAAAATGTGTACTATAAAGAGAAGGTTTTACTCTTTTCTTCCATTGTAAAGTTTGTAAGACTTAAATAGTATTCCATTGTTCAGGAAGTATTTGAATTTATAACCCAGAATTATTTTGTCAAACCCCAGATAAAGCCCTACATGAGATTCCATGCGCTTGGCTGAACACGTTCTAGGATAATTTCAATTTATCTTTTTTATTGTCATGCCAAAGGAAGCCGATGGCCTGAGCATCTTTGCTGCTGCTGCCTCCTCACGTTGCAAAGAGTTTGCCAAGCATTTCATGAGGATAATGCTCTGAACAGCTGAGTGTATGCTCATTGTGGTCCAGTGCTTAAAATTGCTCAGAGGGTGCAGTCACCCTGTGTGTGCACTTCTGAGGAACAATAATTAATCAGATTGTTAGACACTTCTTGACATACAATTAATTCCAAATAGAGGTATTGCCTAAAAATCTGACAAGAGGACGTGGAGCTACAAAGAAAGGCAGGAGGATTCTGCAGTGGTTGAGTAAACTCAGATCTCCCAAGTCCATATCTTTTCTAACCCGTGTGTCCATAGACAAGTCACTATTGGGAAGTTTACACTGTTCATTGCATTGCAAAGAAATGACTTAGCATTAACTGCAAAAATATAGATCTTAGCCAGCTGGTGAAGAGCTTTACTCCAGCTAGTAAGCCCAGCTCTGACGCAATATCTCTGCCCTGGGCTGGGTGAATGCATCAAGCGAGGTCAACACTAACGCGCATGTTTCTGTTCCGGCTGTGCAGTGGTGGTGTAAGCACCAGGGCTTTGTCTGCCTCAGTTCTGCGTTGTCAGAACTTGACTAATGGCAGTTTTTTTACCTTGCACAGATGATTTGATGATAAATATGTTATGGATTGTGAGGCACTTAGATATGTCGTGATGGACGCTAGAAATAAGGAGGACCTTTGGCTCTTATATTAATTCACAGTGTAGTCTGTCTAAGTTATATGACTGATCCATTTTCCTTACCTATTTAATAATACGTGTATTTTTAGGGTGAGGCTTTCAAAGCCACCTGGTGTATTAAAATGCCTTATTTCCCTTCATTCTTATGCCTGTTGAGTATCTAAATCAAATTCCTCCCGCCGCTTAGAAAAATCTCTTCCTAAAATGCCTAGAGCTTTACCATAAGGAAAATAAATAGTGCAAGAGTAAAAGCCACATAAGGCTTACATTTTCAGCATTTCATCACAGAAATGTAGTTATTATGGCATGATGGTTACTCCACATCTGATCACCCATTGGCTATGGAAAAGGGAGATCAGAAATCTGGGTCCCAGATTCAAGACTAGAAGGTACCATTAGGTCATTTCTTCTCACACCTTATGCAACTCTGGCCATAAATTTCACCTACTCATTTTTAAAATGAAACTGGCAACTTGTTTTTGGCTACTGCGCCTTTTCCAGGAAGGCAGAAAGCTTTGAACTGAAGTCCTCAAGCAGTGGACATCCCACTGTGTGCTTTGCTGACTTTTCTGTTGACTGATCACCCTCACTGTTAACTACAGGCACTTTATTTCCTGTTTGAGTCTGGTTTCAGCTTTGATTGGCTGGGTTTCATTTTGCCCTTCTCTGCTTGATTAAAGAGCCCTTTAGTTACCAACATTTATTTTTTGCAGATGGACCTATATCCTCTTGTCAAGTCAGTCCTTAGGCTTGTTTGGTAAACTGGAAAGCTGAGTTCTTCAAGCCTCTTGCTCTAAGTAGTTTTTCTACTGCCCTTGAATATTTTTTGTGTCTGTTTTCTGCACACTCCAATTTTTCACCTGTGTTCCCTTGTCAGTCTCTCTAATGCCTGAGTGTGATTAAAATAGTTTTCCACCTCTTATTCACCCTCCTCTGTTCATGTACCTAGCGATTTCATAAGATCTTCTGTCACAGAAGATCGTGCAGAATTGTGTAGCCACTATGACCACTAAATCCTTTTCACAGTTGCTAGTTTCAGGATGCAATCTCCCAGTGTTTGCATAGAGCCCTTTTGTTCCTTGCTCTTTAATGTATAATATCTTACAAAAGTGTATTTTGTTGGGCCCAGATCACCAACCAGCCTAGCATATATCACTATTTTGGCTTCATTGTTAATTGTCATTTTCCTAATCTTTGGGTTATCTACAAATGTTTGTTAGCTATGACTGAGGAAAATGTTGACGCTGGACTAGTAGCATCCCTTCGGGAGCCCTACTAGAAGCTCAAGTTTGTGAAAGATTTCTCACTGAGGTCTTTTTTTAGTCCAGTAATGTATCAGATTTTAATCCATTTAAGGCATATAGTTGTGGTCTTCATTTTAAAATTAACTCTCTGTAGTATGTCGGGTGGATTTAAACACCTGAGAAATGTTGTTTTCATTTATATTGTTACTTTTATCAACAAAAACTTGCGCATTCCTCAAAGAATTGTCTGCTTTATTTTCCATGTCTCTGTAGATCCATGCTGGCTTCCATTAGTAATTATTCATATTTTTGCAGCATTTAGTAATTGAATCCTGTTTCCTAATCAGTACCTTAAAATCCTCCCCTGAAAACACCCACCTTACTGGTAGACAATGCAGAGAACAAAACCAGCGTCATGCTGCCTTTCTTTCTGTCTTCCAAGTGATATCACCCGGAGGGTGTAGTTAAAATGAGTGATGGATAGAGTGGCAGGGGAAGAGGTCCCACGAGGTCAAAACATATTTAATTTCATTAGAGCTAGCTCAGCTGCTAGTTTTTAATTGGTTTGTCTCTGCGTAACGGTCCATATCTATCACATCTAAAGAATTTTGCCTGATATGGAGAGTGGTAGCTTTCTAAACAACTTTGGTCTTTCTCTTGGCTGAACATAGAATTATTTGATAACTGTCCAAAAGCCGCACACTGTCATTTCAAAGAGTGAATGGGAACTGTTTGTGAAAACAGCAGTGATCCAGGTCTGCAATATGCTGTCGTTAAGAGCTTTGTTTGCATAGATGTCAGTAGTACGGGAGCAGGAGGAAAGGTGATGCAATATAACGGCTCTGGAGCAAGAAAGGCAACCCAAGAGAAATGTCTAATAGACAGTCCAGCTACTGGTTGTGCCACCATATTGCCAGTATAGTTTCTTCCTATTCTTGGATGATATCCTGATGCAAGGAGTTCTTGTGGTTCACATGAGGTTACAAAGAAATCCTAGCCCAAGGCTTAAGCTGCGTTTAAGGCTTAAGCCCAGCTAACTGGGTGCGGTGCAGAGACTGCTAGTGGAAGGCTAGTGGAAGAATCTTCCATTTTAGGCCTTCAAGTGACTATGCGTCAAACAGGGGCTGTGTCCTCGGGACTCTAGGGCAGCTGGAAAACTCCATGCCCTTTACAAATAACAGGCATCCAGATATGACGAGCACCGTATAAATCCCTAGGCAGATAAATGTAACTGGGAGGCTCAGATCTTTTTTTCCCCTTACAGTTGTCTCCCGATTTCTCATCCTACATTCCTAGTACTTTTGCTAAGCTGTCAACGCAGAAGCAGCCCCCAGATTTGATCCAAAGTCCATTAAAGAAAACTTCACTGGAAAAATCATTAGCAATTCTCTTTGCTATCTATTGCACTCCAAAGAGAAAGATAGTTTGGTCAGGGTATTGGCTTAGACTGATTAATGGAATTGTTTGTCCGAAGAAATAAATATAAATATCTGAAAGCATGTTAATAACACTGCTCAAGAACATGCAAGGTGAACTTTTTTTTCTTTTTTTTTAACAAATTAGGATGAACTGC